AGTCGGCGGGGAGGGAAGGAAGAGGACTGCCCTGCAGGGTGCTCTGGTTCTCCACGTCGCCGCCCCCTACAGGGCGGCTGGAGCGGAACAAGAACCAAAAAAAAAAAAGCAGCCGTGCCGCCCTAGGATTGGGCAGAATGCCGCCTCCAACAATCGGCCGCCCAAGCACCAGCTTGCTCAGCTGGTGCCTGGAGCCGGCCCTGCATGCAGCCAGAATCCTGCTCACAGAACCCCTGAGAAATATGCAGTCTTTGTTTCAAATCTGAAATAGACCCTGGTCTCAGGTAAGCCTTATCCCCGCACAACGCTCCGGCTTTGCATTGAAATAACACCTTCCATCCAGGGGAATCAAGGTGTTTTATAGACTTTTAATTAATTCAGCTTCACATTCTCCAAGAAATGTCAGCCAGTTTTTAGTATTGCCTTTTGTACAGATATGGAGAAGGAGGCAAAGAGCAGGGAAATGTCCTACCAAAGGTGCCTAGGATGGACCCTGATATGGAGTCCATCTTTCTGCCAGTTCACAATTGTACCCTCCGGTAGTTTTGGTGTAGTTACAGCATTTCCCTTGGATTTTATTCTACAGCCTAGTCTAAAGTGTGCTAAGGAACTATTTAGCAAAGTAAAAGGAGGAAAGTTAGGATCAATGGAATCCCATGAATATTTTTAAAAATCCTGACAATTAGCTCTAACGTCATCCAAAGTAAGTGGTGGGAGCTCTCCAGCTGGTCCTGCTTTTAATTAATCTGGTCACAGCACTCATAAATGTACATAAGAACTGCAATTCTGCGTCAGACCCACGGTTCACCTAACCCAGTATCCTGTCTCAAACAGTGGCCAGTACCAGACCTTCAGGGGAAGTGCACAGAACAGGGCAATTGGAGTGATCCAGCCCATCTTCCCCTTCCAGCTTCTGTCAGTCAGAGGTTTAGGGTCGCCCCAAACATGGGGTTACATCCCTGACCAACTTGGCTAATAGCCATTGAATGACTTATGCTTCATGAACCTATCTAATTCTTTTCTGAACCCAGTTACTTTTCACCATCCTCTGGCAATGAGTTCCACAGGTTAATTGTGTGTTGTATGAAAAAAAATACTTCCTCATGTTTGTATTAAACCTGTTGCCTATTAATTTCATTGGGTGACCCCTGGTTTTTGTATTGTGGGAAAGGGTAAATAACACTTCTCTATTCACTTTTTCCACACCATTCATGATTTACACACCTCCATCCTGTTCCCCTTTTGTTGTCTCTTTTCTAAGCTGAACAGCCCTAATTTTTTTAGTCTCTTCTCATATGAAAGCTGTTCCATACTCTTGATCATCTTTGTTTCCCTTCTCTTAACCTTTTCCAATTGTAACATATCCTTTTTTGAGATGGATTGACCAGAACTGAACACAGTATTCAAGGTGTGGGCGTATCATGAGTTTATAAAATGGCATTATGATATTTTCTGTCTAATTCTATCTCTTTCCTAATACGTCCTAACATTCTGTAAGCCTTTTTGACCACTGCTGATCACTAAGCTGTATTTTTCAGAGAACTATCTATTGTGATTCCAAAATCTCTTTCTTGAGTGGTAACAGCGAATTTAGACCCATCATTATATATGTGTAGTTGAGATTACTTTTTTCAATGTACCTTACTTTGCTTTTATCAATGTTGAATTTCATCTTCCATTTTCTTGCCCAGTCACCCAGTTTTGTGAGATCCCTTTGTAATTCTTCACAGTCATCTTTGGACTTATTTATCTTGAGTAATTTTGTATAGTCTGCAAATTTTGCCATCTCACTATTTACCATTTTATGGTACCATAATAGGTTCCTAGATACGTTTGAAAATCCCATTAGGTGCCTAAATACCTCTAGAAATCTGGCCTGAGTGACTAAAAAACTTTTGAAAATGGGACTTTGGCTTCTAAGTCACTTAACTGATTTTGAAAATTTTACCTCTCACCTTTTACACAATTCCCCTCTTAGAAACTCACTGGGGTTCCTTGAAGGAATACAGCTTCCTCTCGTGGGTGTCTCTGAGGGTCTCTTTAACCTTCTAGTTCCTCAGGCTGTAGATGAAAGGGTTCAGCAAGGGTGTCACCACTGCGTTCAGGTGCTGGCCACTTTGCTGAGGTCCAAGGAGTGGCTTATCCTGGGTCGAACATAGATGAAGATGGAGCTCCCGTAAAAGAGCATCACCACGATAATGTGATTATCATTGATGGAAAAAAAAATTCCTCAATTTGTGTTCGTATAGTGAAATCAGCGTTTACTGTCAAAACTCTAATAATAGAATCATAGAACTGGAAGGAACCTCCAGAGGTCATCTAGTCCAGTCCTCTGTACTCAAGGCAGGACTAAGTATTATCTGGACCATCCCTGACAAGTGTTTGCCAACCTGCTCTTAAAAATCTCCAATGATGGACATTCCATAACCTCCCTAAGCAACTTATTCCAGTGCTTAGCCACTCTGACAGTTACTTTTCCTAATGTCCAACCTAAACCTCCCTTGCTGCAGTTTAAGCCCATTGCTTCTTGTCCTAACCTCAGAGGTTAAGAAGAACAATTTTTCTCCCTCCTCCGTATAACAACCTTTTTTGTACTTGAAAACTATTATCACGTCCCCACTCGGTCTTCTCTTCTCCAGACTAAACAAATCCAATTTTTTTTCAATCTTCCCTCATAGGTCATGTTTGCTAGATCTTTCATCATTTTTGTTGCTCTTCTCTGGACTTTCTCCAATTTGTCCACATCTTTTCTGAAATTTGGCACCCAGAACTGGACTCGGTATTCCAATTGAGGCCTAATCAGTGTGGAGTAGAGTGGAAGAATTACTTCTCCTGTCTTGCTTACTACACTCCTGCTAATACATCCCAGATTTAGGTTTGCTTTTTTTGCAACAGCATTACACTGTTGACTCATATTTAGCTTGTGATACACTATGAACCCCAGATCCCTTTCAGCAGTACTCCTTCCTAAGCAGTCCTTTCCCATTTTGTATGTGTGCAACTGATTGTTCCTTCCTAAGTGGAGTACTTTGCATTTGTCCTTATTGAATTTTATACTATTTACTTCAGACCATTTCTCCAGTTTGTCAAGATCATTTTGAATTATAATCCTATCCTTCAAAGCACTTGCAACCCCTCCCAGCTTGGTATTGTCTGCAAAGTTTATAACTGTACTTTCTCTGCCATTATCTATATTATTGATGAAGATATTGAACAGAACCGGACACAGAAATGATCCCTGTGGGACCCCCCACTCGTTATGCCCTTCCAGCATGACTGTGAACCACTGATAATCACTCAGTGGCAGTAAACATCTCAGTTTGAGTGCATGGATGGAAATCTTTATGTGGTCAGTTTTCCAGTGCTGGTGCTTAAATGTAAGTACCAGAATCTGTACAAGCACCACATGGTTGCAGCTCCCCACTGGTGAAGTTCCTAGGGTCAGCTGAAGCAGGGTTTCCTGTAGCAGAACTGAGAACACAGTGTTGAATTTAGAAAACTAAAGAAATTTCCAAATCCAATGTCTTTGTGAAGGTGGAATTAACACTGATTTAATATCAGTAAATTTCTGTTTTTTTTTTCTTGGTAGATTTTAAGAACACAAAATGGAAGAGCAGAACCTCACTGCCCCAGTGACAGAATTTGTCCTCTTGGGGCTCACCCAGAATCCTGAGTTGCAGCACTTCCTCTTTGTGGTTTTCCTCATAGTTTATGTGAACATCTGGGTGGGACACTTCATCATCATCACCACCGTGATCACCAACCACAGGTTCCATACCCACATGTGCGTCCTGAACTTGGCTTTCCTGGATGTCAGTGAATCATCAGGGAATGCTCCAAATATGCAGGTCGACTTTCCCAGTGTAAAAGCATCTTGTTCAGTGAGTGCATCCACCAGATGTTCTTCTACCACTTAATTTGTTTTGTGCGAATGGCGATCGCTCGGTATGTGGCCATCTATAAGCCATGGCAGTACTTGAGTATCATGAACCAGGATGTGTGCATGGGGCTAGTGGCGCTGGCATGGCTGGGTGGATTGGCTCACTCTACTGTTCAGCTTGGACTGCTCCTCCAGCTACCGTTCTGTGGTCCAAATGTCCTGGACAATTTCTACTGTGATGTCCCACAGGTCATCAAACTGGCCTGCGCTGACACCTACATGGTAGAACTGCAGATGGTCTTCAATGGTGGAGTGCTGTTCATAATAGTATTAATTGTTCTGCTTATTTCCTACACCATCATCTTAGTGAAGATCAGGACACACATCACAGAAGGGAAATGCAAGGCTCTGTCCAAATGAAGAGCCCAGATTTTCATGGTATGTTTACACTTCATACCCAGCATCTTCATCTATGCTGAGTGATTTTTAAGTGTCTAAAAGCCAAAGTCCATTGTAAATCTAATCCTAAGATCCGTAACTCTTTAAAATCAGCTTCCGTCACACAGATCGACGTGTAGCAAAACCTAATGTGTCTCTTTGTTGCCTTCTATTGGCTGTACCTCAGATAGCCATTTATGGGGCTGCTCCAGGCCTTTAAGCTAAGGCCTCTTTTCCATTAGTGCAACTACCTTTTAAATGACAAGTTCAATGCTCACAGATGTCCTGGTAGAACTTCTGCAACTTAAGCACTCCACAAGTCTAGGGAATCTCTGAGGTGGTCTCAATGAGGCCATGGGGGGCATCTGCAATGGCTTTCCTCCAAGCTCTCTGCATAAGTGCTGATACCACATCTGTCACCATTGTACTTGAGCACCTCACGATCCTTAAAGCATTTAACCTCACCACACTCCTGCAAAGTAGGGAAACTATGTTACCCTATTTCAGAGATGGGGAATCAAAACAGGGAGTCTGGGATATTCAAAGGATCCGGGGGGGCTCAGACATCAAACTCCCAGTGAAGTTCTGTGGGAATTGGGCACCTATCTTCCTCTCTCTTGAAAATCCTGAGGGTAAATGGGCCAGTTCCCCAGCTGGCAGAAGTGGTTGCATTTTACTACATGGCTTCCATCAGTTGGGACTTTGGCACCAAGAATCGCTAGTCAAAATTATTCTAAGAATGATTTCAATTAATGAGGATAAAATATACAATTATAAATAGAGGTTGCAAAGATTTTTTTTCTAAACTGGCTTTTTTATTGGTAATAGATAAATAACATCTTCTAAAAAATCCCTTAGCATATTTTCCAGATCTTAAATTTCCA